CTAATCAAAAATACAGGACTAGGGTGGTGGCTCAGTGGTAGAGCACTTGCCTGGCATGTATGAGGCACTGGATTCTATTCTTAGCACCGCATTTAAATAAATAAAGGTCCATTGACAACTAAAAATAAATAAATTAATACAGGATTGGTGTTGTTGAGTACTATGAATTCAGAATGAAGTTGGAGTAAGGAAGATGGGGGAGGATGTCCAGTATTGCTTTGTATGAAAAAGCCTACGAGAAATAATATTTGATCAGAGTCCAGAAGGAAGTGAGTAAGCCATTCATTCATTAAATATTTATCAAACATGTTTTTAGACTCTAAGGACATAGCAGTGACTAGAAGACATTCCATTATGGGCCACAGATACTCCTCTTCACTGCAGAAAACTTGCTTTGTTTTACCTAATGTCTTGAAGACTAAAATATTCTGGAAGGGAAAGAAGAGGAAAACTTACACTTAACTTTTTATTCTTTGGTGCAGTGCCAGGAATCAAACCCAGGGTGGGCCTCATGTGTGCTGGGCAAATACTCTACCATTGAACCACATCCCCATTCCTACCCTTAAAATTTTGATATAAAGACTTTAAAAGTCTAAAATTAATCAGAATCTATTTTCCTCCTAAATAAAAGGAATTGTTCAACTTTATCTCTGCTTCCATCTTAAATGCATACCATTTTTTGATTCATTTTATTTTTATTTTCCCAAAGTAATCATTAGGGTTAAAAGTAGTTTTGAGTATTCATAATTATAGACAGCTCCATATGTTTTCCAAATATTTCTTCTTGCATGTCATTATTTTTGAGGGGAGGGGTTCAGTTTTCTACTTTCTACTTTTTTCTTAAGTACATACTTCAGAAATTTCCTTATATGGTGGCTACTCTGTTTTTGTCTGTCATCTATAGAGGTTTTTAATTTGCCCTCATTTAAGACAATAATGACTTGGTCTGATGTAGCTCAGTGGTAAAGTGCTTGTCTAGCCCATACATCCAGCACCTCAAAAAAGAAAAAAAAAATGACTTTATCCAGACATAATTTACAGTGTACAATTCCCTCCATAGGGATTCAAATAAGGGGTGCTTTGTCATTGAGCTATATCCCCAGGCCTTTTTATCTTTTTTTGAGACAGGGTCTTGCTAAATTGCCCAGGTTGGCCTCAAACCTTCAATCCCCCACCTCAGTCTCCCGAGTTGGATGTGCACCACTGGGCCAAGCATCCACACGTTTTAAATATGTTCACCAACTTGTGCAATTATCTTTTTTTTTTTTTTTTGAGAGAGAGAGAGAGAGAGAGAGAGAATTTTTTTAATATTTATTTTTTAGTTATCAGCGGATACAACATCTTTGTTTGTATGTGGTGCTGAGGATCGAACCCGGGCCGAACGCATGCCAGGTGAGTGCGCTACCGCTTGAGCCACATCCCCAGCCCCAACTTGTGCAATTATCACCACTAATTTCATAACATTTCTTCACTCCCAAAATAAACCCCATATCTATTAGCAAACATTCCCCATTCCCCTGACAACCATTAACCTATTTTCTGACTCTAAATTTGCTTATTCTGACATGTCTCAAATGAAATCATACAATATGTGCCCTTTTGTGTCTGATTTCTTTCAGTTAGCATGTTTTCAAGGTTCATTCATATTGAAGCATGCATCAGTACTCCATTTTTTAAAAAAATGTTTTAAAATTGTCAGTGAATCTTTTATTAATTTACTTTTATGTGGTGCTGAGGATCGAATCCAGGTCCTCACGCATGCTCGGCAAGCACTCTACCACCAAGCCACAACCCCAGCCCAATATGCCATTTTTTTATGGTTGAATAATACTTTATTGTTTCACATTTCAACTATCCTTTCACAAGTTGATCAACATTTGAGTTGTTTGCATTCATTTGGCTATTGTGAATGATTCTATGAACATTTGTGTACATGCTTTTGTGTGAATGTATGTCAATTATTTTGAATATACTTAGGAGTGGAATTGCTGGATCATATGGAAACTCTGTTTAACCTTTTGAGGGACTGTCAAGCTGTTTTCAAAAGCAGCTACACCATTTTACACTTCCAATAGCAACATACAAGCAAAACATCCATTTTCTCCATATTTTCACCAACACTTCTTTTTCTGATTTTGTTTGTGTTTATTATAGCCATCCTAGTGGGCCTGAAGAAGGATCTCATTGTGTACATTCTAACTGGTGGGTTTGTTTTCATACAAACTGACACACACTATACTTGCACTATATGCTTATCTTATCAACATACTGTGGAGATGATGTCAGTATGTACAGAACTGCTTCTTTTTTTTTCTTGCCAAATTTAACCAGTTCCTTATTGATGTTTTTTTCCCCCCAGTTTTTTGCTATTACTAACAGTTGCTGCAATGACTATCCCCTACTACATTCTCCACACATAGAATATTGTCCACAAGGATAATTGCTTGGTGTGGAAATCCGGGTTAAAGGGTACAGACATTCTGGTATAATGAAGGACCACAAAATTGCTGTGGGTTGAGGAGGGAAGTTGGTTTACAAGTGCCTGTCTGTCAGCACGTCTTCATCCCCAACTTTCTCCTTTTCCAGCCTCCCCACCCTATCTTCCTCACACACCATAAATGTGAAAAGTAGGGGAAAGGTTGAGGCAGGGATTTGGCTTCTCCCTTCCCATCAGTTCAGCGCCTTTTGGGCAGAGCTAGCCAAGTTGGGGGAGTTCCCGGGTTCTCTCAGCCCAGCCAGGGCACTTGGTTTGGGCACAAAAATTCATTGCATCCCTACTTGAGTCAACACTGCTCCATGAGCTTTGACCTGCTGTCTCCTCCTTCTCAGGATAAAGACCCTGAAGCTACCCCCAGCCTTCCCTTCTATGGAGTGGATGTTCATTCCAAGTGGCCTCTTCATTCTCATGGTCTCCCCAGGACTCTTTTTTTCTGAGATATTCTCTGGCTCTCTCACAACAGAACATCGTATTGTTTTGGTTGGTGTGACAGATGGCAGCCCTGTCCCCAAATCTGGGCATAAAACTGAATTGCAATCTCCTTAGCTCTTCAGATCAAGTATCCTTAGCAATTATATAGGGGGCGAGAGCGTGGCTCACACCTGTAATTCCAGCTAATCCGCTGATGGTTTACATTTGATGGCAACCTGGGCAATTTGGTGAGACCCTGTATCAAAAATTAAAAATACCGGTGAAGGCTAGGGCTGTGGCTGTGGCTCAGTGGTACAGCATTTGCCCAGCACATGTGAGGCACTGGGTTTGAGCCTCAGTGCCACATAAAGATAAATTAATTAATTAAATAAAGCTATTGTGTCCATAAAAAAAGTTTGGAAAAATACCGATGGAAAAAAAATCACTCAGCAGCCAGTGCCCCCACAATAGATGAGACTGAGTGTTTTGCCCATACCTCACCAGGGCCAGGAGTACCTCCAGTCTCTTAAGCAACATGACAAACTTTTATGAAAAGTGAGTTAACATGATACAAAAGGGCTGCCACCATTCCAGAGAGATCCGTGGTAAATTCAATCTCAGGATCTGGAATGGAGGGTGGAGAATGGAGTCTCAATTGGTTCTTCTAAGAATTCAAACAAAAGCCGCTCTTCAGTCCCTGAAATGGAGGGGTGGAATGGGGGTCCGACGCCCTCTGACAAGTTGTTCTTTGGGAAGTCTCTGGTTAACTCCCTCTACCGGCTGGGGTTGTGGCTCAGTGGTAGAGTGGTTGGCTGTTGTGATGGGCAAAAGGTGCGACTTCTGCAGTCCAGGGGGAGAAATACAGAATGTCCACGAGCTTCTGCCCTTTTCAATACTTTATTCACTCAAATCACTCAATACAATTTAACTCTATAGGTTCTTAGTCAAGAAAAGATAATCCTTAATGCTAGSYACTGCAACAGATATAATCAAATCACAGCAAACAATTCTAGATTAATTCTAAGCACTGCAAACACACTTAATCGTGACAGACTATTGACAGACATTTCCTCTGTGTGCTAARTTCAATCCAGATCAAAAGTCTTAAGGCTTAGGCTTTAAGTCCAGCAGATGCACACTCACTCAGATGGAGGTGATCAGATCAGGAACCAAGTCAGGCTTCTCCTGGGATGGAGCTGATGGCTGAGGAGAGGGTCATAGAGAGAAGTTGCRGTTCTCAACAGGGTCAAGATGCGACTATAGAGTTTGAGAGCAGTGAGGACCACACAGAGAATCAGGCAAACAATGACAAGTGATGGGATGTCAGTCCAGGTCCTCATCATCAGGCTCTCCAGCTTGAGTGCATCTGTATTGGACTGGCTTATATCTGTCATTTGCTCTATTATTTATACTAAATTTGGGGGCTTTTGAACCCCCCTCCTTTTTCAATCCTTTATCAGCTATCAAGGCTTCACTTTTGAGTTTATCAGGGTGAGTGGAAGTGACTTGTTTGTGCCTGGGGGGCCATACTGGAGGGCTCAATTAGGTTGCCTCACGAGACAGCAGGTTTCAAACCGAAGCTTAGGGTCTGGCCTAAGGCCATCCTCACATTGCCTAGCAAGTGTGAGGCAGTGGGTTCAATCTCCTTCACCAAACACAAAAATAACTAAATAAACAAAATAAAGGTATTGTGCCCATCTACAACTAAAAAAAAAACCCCCAACCAACCAACCCAACCAACCAAAAAAACCCAAGAACCCCTCCGCCATGGCGGAGCCTTCAGGGGTCATCTGAGGTGTGCTTTCCGCGGGACGTGGCACAGATTWATGTGTCTTCTGACTCCTTCAGAAGTTTAGGACAGGCGAAGGCAGGCGGAGGTAATGCACTCGACAAGTCCCACCCTGGCGGCAACGATTCTGAACCATTCGCCACACACTTTTAAGAACACGTCTGCCCTTAACCACCCACGCAGCCTCCAACACCAGACCGCTTCGCGCCGGGCCGGGGCGGGGCCGCGGGCGGAGGTGCGTGCAGGCCTGAGCGTGCGGACGCCATCGCGAGTGCGTCAGCCGCTCGGGGGCGGGGCCGCGGATATAAGAGGCGGGGCCGGGCAGGCTGACTGTTGGTGTCGCCGCGAGCTGGGCTTTTGCCTTCGTAGACCTTAGTGCGTGGGGCGCTCGAGCTGCTGCTGGTCGAAGGACTTGCCTTCCGATTCCTGTGCGACCTGCTGTGACCGTTTGCGGGCCACTCCCGGCCTTCCCCCTCGAGGTGAGTGGCTTTCCCGGCTCCCCGCCCCCATCCTCCGAGCTGCGTGCTGGGCTGGCCGCCTCGTGGACTGGGCCGTCAGGAGCTTTGGCTTCTTGTCTCTACCGGTCAGCCGCCCCAACCCGTTTTCCTCTAAAATGGACTGGGATTCCGGTAGCCCACCCCTTGCTTGCTGGTGTTTGGATTAGGCATCCCTGTCACGCCCCCCAAAAGCACCCTCAGCATATTTTTTCCTATCCCAGCGTGTAGCTTGTTGTGTCCTAACTAACTGTCCAGTGAGGGCATGGTTTGAGTCTGTGGGGTTATCTTGTGGCCCTAGTACCTTCTGGCGTGCCTGACACTCTTAAGTATTCAGGGTTTATTTGTTGAGTAAATGAACTGATAGATTTGACTCTTAAGGTTATTTTAACTTTCAAAAAAATTATGGTTAATTGGAATCTAACAGTAAAATGGGAGAGACTTCTTGGTAAGTTGTCTTGTATTTCYCCCTTTCCCCTGCAAGAAGGCTCTACCTCTGCTACAGGTAGCAGCACTGTAGTATAGGGTCTGTGCATTGTACCTGCCAAGAACAGTCTTAAAGAGAAGTAGAAGTTTTAAGTAGTACTCTTGAATTAGAGAAGCAAGTGAGGCTCTACAGTAGTGGAGTTTGCAGTGCAAATATGTACTTGGGGATTTTGTTGTGGGAAAACTGTTGGCCACTGACTCCCTGGCTGGCCAAGCCTCTCATTTACTCCTGGGAGGCAGAAGTGTTGGGGAATGATGCATGTAGATCTCCAAAGGCTGAAGATTAACCCCTTCCTTTCTTTCCTCAGGATCCAGAGACCATCCAGAAGTAGAAGGCAGCACTACTGCTCAGCAAAGGAGTGGGGTACTTTCAGCCATGAAGAATATGTTGAACCTTTACCTGCTAGGTGTGGTGTTGACCCTACTGTCCGTCTTTGTTAGACTGATGGAGACTTTGGGGGCCTTAGTGGAGAGCCCATTGCCAGGGAGTACATGGAACACCAGAGGTCAACTAACCAACACAGAGTCCCCCAAGGGCCTACCAGACCATCAATCCAGAGGGGTGCAGTAAAACTGTCCTCTGCATCAGCCATACTTTGGAACATACTTTGCAACGCCAGCCAAGTTTCCCATTTACTAGCAGGCAAGCTCACACCACCAGTGTTTCCAGAGAACTGTTACTAGGCACAGACAGACCTGTTTGACTGGATATGCTCCTTGCCCTCGGGGTGGGGGAGCCTGTTTAATGCACAGATATGCATGGGTTGCCTATGGCTACGGGATGGAGTGAACTTGCCCTTCTCCCCAGGATGGGCTGTATGCTTTGCTGTCCTTCACAGTGTGGATCTTGACACATCTGGGATGCGGACTTGTGCTGCACTTTCAGCTGTTGGGAGATGGTGGTGTTTTCAACCCAGCATCCTAAACATCTGCCAAAGGTTTCTTTGGACATGAATGTCTTGTGGTCAGTTTATTTGGTGTTCAGTTTTTTCTTCCTGAGAGCGCCTCTGTTTCTGGGTAACTATTAAGGTGTGTACATTGGCTACAAGGAAGGAGATGATAGAATATCCACTGTTTAATTCTCATTGTCCTATATTTTTATAAGGACAATGCTCCAACATAGCATGCATGTGTTTGTGTATGTTGGTCTGAAGAGGGCAGTGGGATGATAAAGCCTGCTTAGGATGTGGGCATTTTGGCCACTATGTGGTTTAAATGAATTTTTTGATGCAATAAAGTTGAAAAAGTATTTCCACTGTGTTATTTTGACTTCTGACCTTGAAATTAGTGATAGGGAAGAGTTTTAATTCCTAGTCTAAGGATTAACATCCTAAAACTTCAGAACAGGAAAATGCTTAAAGCACTTTTGTTTAATCATAAACTTCTGAATTTGGGGGTGTAGGCAGTTTACTACCCATATAACAACCAGTTATTAGAGCCTATGCTTCGACTATTACAGTTGACTATATCAGACTAATAAAATTTTATATTCATGGATTCAGCCAAGTGTAGATTAATAAGATTTTTTTTGTTGTTTTCAGTACTAGGAATTGAACTACCATTAAGCTGCATCTTAGCCCTTGAAAGTATTTTTAATTAAAAAATTGCTTCTGAACCAGGCACAGTGGTAAGCTCCTGTAATCTTAGTTCCTTGTCAAGCTGAGGCAGGAGGATTGCAAGTTTGAGGTTAGCTTGGGCAATGTGGACCCTGTGTCAAAAATAAATAAAAAGGGCTGGAGATGTAGCTCCGAGGGAGAACACCCCTGGATTCAGTCCCTACTACAGCCAAAAAAGTCTGTACTGAACATTTAACATTAACAGATTTGTCATTCCTAAACAATATAGGATAACTACATGGTATATGGCATTGTAAGTCATCAAAAGATGATTTAAATTACATGGGAGAATGTGCAGAGGTTATATGCAAATACTATACCATTAAATAAAACAGACTTAAGCTCTAAATGGGGTAGGGGCAGTCCTGGAACCAACCCCTAAAGATAAAGAGGGACAACCACAGTCCTTTCGTGACTATCCATTCCCTTTTTCCTTTTTTTGTGCTGCTGGGGATTGAACCCAGGGCTTTGCCTGTGCTAGGCAAAAACTATACTATTGAGCTATATCCTCAGCCCATTTATTTTTTATTTTGAGGCAGTGTCTCACTAAGATACTGAATCTGGCTTCAAACTTTTGATCCTTCTGCCTCAGTCTCCCGAGTTGCTAGGATTATAGGAATGTGCCACCATGCTCAGCCTCTATTTCTAAAAAAAAAAAAAGATCCCTCTTCCAGGCCCTCAACTTTAGTCTCTGGGGAAAAGAGAATTACCAGTCCAGGAGACTTTTTTCCTTCTATGTTCTTCAATGTCTTTTCTTTACGAAAATGACTGCTTTATTCTGATCAGGTCATCTGACAATATCTGCATCTCACAGGTAATTGTTTTTGTTCTCTTGTATCCATCATCACTCCTCCACATCCTGTCGCATGTGTAAGTATACATCTATTCACTCTGCTTTTGGTAATATACCTATTTACACTCCCATCTGGGTGTATGCATTATTTTATTAATTTAATTTTACCAAAGAAAAGAATGGAACATGATGTCCTCTGTTAAACCAGTTTATCTTCCCGAGTATTTTTTTTTTCTAGTTGTGGATGAACACAATGCCTTTATTTTTACTTGTTTATTTTTATATAGTACTGAGGATAAACCCAGCACCTCATGCATGCAAGGCAAGCATTCTACCAGTGAGCTACAGCCCCAGCCCCTGAGTTTCTTAAATTTAAATGCCACTACCTGAGAAACTAGTGGTTTAGGCATCAGTTTTATTTATTACACTATGGTAGTCAGTATGGGACTAGTAGACTAGTCCCTAAGAGGTTGGTTAGATTTATGTGACTTGTATTTTGTTAGTATAATACTATAAAAAATGTAGTTGGCCTTTTATCTCTGATTTTAGGGCAGTTTCATGTGCTAATACCTGCCCTTTTCTAGATTTTTTTTTTTTTTTTTTTTTTTTTAGTACTGGAACACACTGTAACTCTACCATTAAGCTGTATCCCAAACTCCTTTTATTGAGACAAGGTCTCACCAAGTCTCCTAGGGTGCTCTTTAACTTGTGATCCTCCTGCCTCAGCCTCCCAAGTTGCTGGGATTACAGGTATTCACCTCTGCTCCTGGCCTGTGGTCTGATGCTTTACACCTTCTGACAAATAGCTATTCTAATAGTTTGTTGTCAGTGACAACAAATAGTAACCCATATTCATGTTGCTAAAATTCTGTCTCTCCTAGATCTACAAGCTTGTTAGATAAAGTCACTGTAGGCTACAATTCTACCACATATTTTGCTACTACATAACAAGTGTTTGACATCCTTCCAGCCTCCAGCAAGATCTCTGCTGCCCTCTGTGTAAGTTAATATCGTACATGTTACTTTTTTTTTTGTTTCATTTTGTTCTTTGTGACTCTGGGAGTTGAACTCAGGGCCTCATGAATGCTAGGCAAGCTGTCTACCACTGAGCTCTGTCCCCTAGCCCTTTTTTTTTTTTTTTTTTTGAGAGAGAGAGAGAGAGAGAGGGAGAGGGAGAGAGGGAGGGAGGGAGGTAGAGAGAGAAGAGAGGGAGAGGGAGAGGGAGGGAGGGAGAGGGAGAGGGAGAGAATGTCCCCTAGCCCTTTTTAATTTTGAGGGTACCAGGGATTGAACTCAGGGGCACTCAACCACTGAGCCACATCCCCAGCCCTATTTTGTATTTTATTTAGAGACAGGATCTCATTGAGTTGCTTAGCTCCTAGCTTTTGCTGAGGCTGGCTTTGAACCTGTGATCTTCCTGCCTCAGCCTCTGGAGCCACTGGGATTACAAAGTACACCACCACGCTTGGCTCCTTTTTAATTTTGAGATAGAGTTTCACCAAATTGCTGAGGCTGCCCCGAACTTGGGGTGGTTCTTTTTCAACCTCTTGAGTACCTGGTATACAGGCATGTGCCACCATGCCTGTTTTATTTTTTAAATATCAATACCCCTCTCTAGATTCCAGTTTCTGAGTCAGTCAAGGACACATTAGGTTAGGTTATGCTGTAGCAAGAACACTAAAGTCTCAATGGCTTAAAACAGAAAAATAAACAGCTCTATTTTGTATTTTATTTAGAGACAGGGTCTCATTGAGTTGCTTAGCACCTTGTTTAGTTGCTGAGGCTACCTAAGAATCCCCTCCTAAGAGGTGAAATTGGAGCCTAAGCAAGGTTATCCTCTTCCCCCAGGGCAAGAGGTCCTGCCACATCTGCCTAGTGGGATATCATCATCACTACATTGTGGTGCCTCCCATTCTTCCTCTTCCTCCTTTACTGCTTTAGTCTGTCATTATTCATTACTGTGCATTAGATATGCRGGGCACATAGCTTGTCTTTTTAGTTATAGATCTCCACCTCAAGCCTCATCTGAAACTAGTGGAGAAACTTTTGTTCATCACCCAGAGATTGTTATATTTGAATCTAATATTATTATAGCCAACTCTTTAACCAGTCTTGGATTGTTTTCTTTGGGGGAAGGGTAATGAGTATATGCCACCTGCAGGAGGAGAGAGTGAGCTGCATGATTGTCAACAAGAATCCTTAGTGGTAGTCTTTGGTATTCAAATACGTCTCCCATACATTCTAAGCACCAGGTAGATGGTACTTTTTGACCCCTTTCTGGTTGGATGGGGCCATGTAATTAATTCCTGACAGTGAGTTGTGAGTGGAAGTGACTATATCAATTCTAGGTTAAAACATTTTAAAGAGCTGATTCCCAAACCTGCAAGGCCCTCTTCCTTTGCCTCAGTGACTGGAATTGTTCCATCTGGAACTGCTCCATTAGGGTAGGTCCTGGAGTGGAGAWGCCACAGAAAAGAACCCTCAATGGGGGCGGGGGGGCTGGGGTTGTGGCTCAGCGGTAGAGTGCTCACCTAGCACGTGCAAGGCCCTCAGCACCACATAAAAATAAATAAAATAAAGGTATTGTGTTCAACTACAACTAAAAAAAAAATTAAAAAATAAACCCTCAATGGATCCCTGATGAATACAATTACTTTGCTGTGTTAAGTTACTGAGATTTTGGGATTTGTTGCTGAGGTATAACTTTGCCTCTCTGCGCTGATAAATTGCTTACAGAACATTTCAGATGTCAGGCTTTAACTAAGACCCCCAACCACTATTTCCTCAGATAATGTATGTACACAAGGGAGTAGAGGGTACTGACACTGTGGCACATGCCTGTCATCCAAACATCATGGGATCCTGAGGCAGGAGGGTCCTAAGATCAACCTCAGCAACTTAGTTAAACCCTGTCTCAAAAAAATAAAAAGGGGCTTGGCACAGTGGCACATGCCTGTAATCCCAGTGGCTTGGGAGCCTGAGGCAGGAGGATTGTGAGTTCAAAGTCAGCCTCAGCAAATAGCGAGGTGCTAAGCAACTCAGTGAGACCTTTTCTCTAAATAAAATACAAAAAAGAGCTAGGGATGTAGTTCAATGGTAGACTACTTGTCTAGCATGTATAAGGTCTTGGTTCAATCCCCAGTTAACCCTCTAAAAAAGATAGTAGAACGAAATTCAGGTAAAAAGATGTACATAGTTCTGTAAAATAAATAAATAAATTTATACACACACACACACACATATATACAAAAGGGTACAATAAAGT